GGGCATTTGGTCTAGTGGTATGATTCTCGCTTTGGGTGCGAGAGGTCCCGAGTTCGATTCTCGGAATGCCCCCATTGAATTTTTGTAAAATATATGTTTCTACATACCAGCCTCAAATTGCTTAGTAAAACATATTGACTTTTCTTAGTAAATGTGTTCGATCCAAACTAAAAAAGGTTTCATTATATTGGAGCATTGGAAACCATACATTTCAAATGCAGTTCCAGTGAAAGAATTAGAGATCAGATATTGGTGTTAGACAGTATAAAGCCGAGAACCAGATCTAGAGTAAATCCATTGCAAAGAAGCAGGAACTAGTTTTTTGGTGTTTGTTATTTCAGTGGTCCAGATTAAATTTCAGCATGAAAACAACACCCTGCTTCGTTACGACTTTCAGTATTAAATGTTGAAAGGAAAATCAAAGAATAAGTTTCAGAATGTAGCATACCTTTGCTTTCATGTCGGATGGTGTAACTGCGACTAATCAATTAGCTTCAGCAATTGAACATTAGTGACTTCCCTCGCATTTCAGCGGGAGTAGATTAGAAACGCCACAAGTTCTTCTTACACAATGATTTTAGCATTTCAACAAAGTATCAGACCCTTACCCATTTTAACTTAAAATGTAGTCTGGCGTTTAGGTTTCTGACTTCATCTCTTGGAATCCTTGTAATGATTTTCGAGATTAACTGCTGAAACCCAACTAAACGAACTCTTCAACCAAACACCTCCCATCTGCAGTTTCAAGGAAACATCAGACAGTACTTATATTAGCTTTGTGCCACTAGATTCTCCAAAACTGAACTACAGCAATTGGACAACTATCAGATGCGAATTTCAATGGAAAACAAAAATGTTTGAAGGAATTTAAGATTGAATAACAGTCTGAGTAGAAAATTAAAGCCTTCTAAATGATCTACAAAAGCACATGCATTTATTCTGGTCTTACAATTTTCCCTCTGGTTGTAACAGCTTCCTAGCCTGATTCTTGACGTGCGATAAATTTTCTTTTCAATCTACATTCTATAAGAAACCTGAAAGTATAGGATACAAACTAAAATTTTCTGCCTGAAATTTATTTTCAAGATATGACTCTTGAACAATAAGCATTTCCCTTTTATTGCTCAGAAAGATGAACTACAAACCAAGAACTATTCTTTGAAGAGAGAGTAAGGACACAAAGAGAATGCATGAAAGAGAAAAAACAATAACCGGGCATTTGGTCTAGTGGTATGATTCTCGCTTTGGGTGCGAGAGGTCCCGAGTTCGATTCTCGGAATGCCCCGTTCACTTTTTTACGTCTATTCCAGGAGGAAATTTCTTAGAAAATCAGGTCTCAGTTATAGTCCTACATTTTTCACAGCTCTTGTTCTAACATTTATAATTAACCCTTTCCTTCAGCATGTGAACATAAAAAACGAAACCCACCTTAAAGTTTCATAATTTGAAGTGCTAAATGCAATCGAAAAGAAGATCATACCGCTTCGTCACGCCGCTCAATAAATCTTTTTAATTTGTAATCATCATATTTTGTAGGCTGTCGAATACACCAAGAATGAGCTGCAGAAACAGCAAACGAATTGTGATATAGTATCTAATGGAAAAGCAAAGGGAAGCAAAAATCACTAAAAGAAAGAAGAGAATGCAAATAATAGGCACTAAGTGAACAATATAATAAAAGCAGGGCATTTGGTCTAGTGGTATGATTCTCGCTTTGGGTGCGAGAGGTCCCGAGTTCGATTCTCGGAATGCCCCTTTGACTTTTTGTAAGAAGAAGTTCTATATGCCAGCTAACATTTCATCAAGATTAAATTACAGGCAATCCACCTTCACTGTTAAACCCTGAAAGTCAACTAATAGAACTAGATCTAAAACGCCATATCTTTCTTAAATTATCTAAACAAGAAAACATTCTAATATCAGATTCAAAAATAGATTATAGAATAGCTTGAACTTGCTCTAGCTTTATGTGGCCAGATTCATCAAGAATTGAACCCTCAAAAGGAAAACCTCCAAGAGGAAATATCCTGCTATAACAGAGTGAAGTGTGTATTCTCTTTCCACATGATTAAACAACACAATGCTTCAATGGAACTATATCAACAACAGGGCATTTGGTCTAGTGGTATGATTCTCGCTTTGGGTGCGAGAGGTCCCGAGTTCGATTCTCGGAATGCCCCATTGACATTTTTCTTAGTAAATGTTTATAAACAATACAGGTATATATTTTTTGGCTTCACTGCAAACCATACATTTCAAATGCAGTTCCAGGTAAAAAAATTATAAAATTATAAAATATGGATTCAGGAATTGGCTTTATACTATCATGTTAAAGTCAAATTTTAGACAAACAATATCATAAAACCATTCAAAAATGTAGGACGAGAATAAGAATATCCTCTTCTGATTGTTTTCCGTGGACGAGGTTTGAGCAATTGGGCCAATACAATATACTGCAAATGATCATTCCATTGGAACTTCAGTTGAAAGAGATCTCACAAACTAGATCCAACAACATCCTACAAAGACTAAATTATTTATTTACTAAAAGTCAACTTAGAGAACTAGATCAAAATATGACCAAATCTTAAACGTTGTAACTGTTTAGCAACAGGGCATTTGGTCTAGTGGTATGATTCTCGCTTAGGGTGCGAGAGGTCCCGAGTTCNATTCTCGGAATGCCCCGTTGACTTCTTTGAAATTTTTTTGTTCAAAAATACATTCAAACAGGGGAAGGAAACAAAGAGAATGCTTTTGA